AACAAAACATAATAATATATATAATATGCCATTTAGCAGACACTTTTATCCAACGCGACTTACAGTCATGCGTGCATACATATTTTGTGTATGGGTGGTCCCGGGGATCGAACCCATTACCTTGGCATTACAAGCGCCGTGCTCTACCAGCTGAGCTAATAGAGGACCACATGCCACCATACTACATTTAAAAAGATACACAATATGCAACAAATAACACTAATAATTGAAAACATTGGAGACTGCACCATCATTCAAGTTGAATAATATTCCCTCCCAGACTTGGACTGGGTCAGATGGGTAATGATTATATCTAATCATTGACCCAGATCAAATAAACCCTATAGGATTACATCAGTGGAGGCTGGTGGGAGGAGCTATAGGACAGGCTCATTGTAATGGCTGGAATAACAGTATCAAACATACGGAAACCATGTTTGACTCCTTTACATATATTCCATTCCAGCCACAATGAGCCAGTCCTATAGCTCTACTGATCACCAGCCTCCATTGGATCACACACACGAATATACATACACATACCTACAGAGTGCATTGCTGCTCAGCACTGAAGAGACCATTCTGTTGGATCTGTGCCAAAATTGAAATGATGGTTAAAACACAGTATAATCAAAGCCAGTCAAAATATGTCAAATTATAGGCTAATGCACATGTCCTCATAATAATGTAATAATAATCACTGTGGTTCATGATGTGAACAGCAGATACAGATTTTAATCATAGGACAAGAAAATGGCTGCAGTTGACTTCATTCATTCTTCAATACATTGTAAATGAGTGTTCAAGCTGACAGTGTAGCCAGTTTGACATCTTACCACGTGTCCTGTATCATTGTCATCCATCCTGTGACAGTGTATCGAACGACACTGCAGAAAAGGTAAACAAGTTGATGCATTATAATGTAACATGCAACAATCTTGGGTCAAGTATAGTCCAAGTTACCGACCACGTGCGCAGTACAGACTAGACTCCTGGCACAATTTTAAGATAACTATAGTTGTAAAAAAAAAAAAATGTAATCACAGAGATTCATGATGTGAACAGCAAAGATTTAAAATCATTGGACGATGGATAAGAAAATCTATGATATTGATAGCCAATTGGTCAGGACTGGCTATACATAGCTATAGCTAACACATATCATAGCTTGTAGTAGCTAGCTAGCTTGCTATATTACAAGACAAGACAACTCACTGAACTATAAGTCGGAGATATGCCTCAAATTCACTGTTATCTCGCCAACAAGGGCGAGGTCCTTCCTTTTCAAGACATTCTTCAGGTTATTATTTGCATCGGACTTGCCAGATACTCGCTCTTCTACTGATAAAAGCAACGAAAAAAACTCCTCATAATTTGCGCATGCGCATTATATACACAGCAAAGCAATGTGGGGAAAAACACGAGAAAGGCGGGATTTCTCTAAAATATCTAAATATCTTAATAAACACATTTAAAAGTGTTACAATTACAGTAGTGTTAAAGCATAGCTTCAATCACTTACAAATCAACTTCATGTTACTGTCTAAAGCAATCATCGGTATCAGAAATATGACAATATCTGATAGGCCTGTGCTATGTATTTAGTAAAATATGAATGCAATTTAGTGCAAAGATTGATACATTTTTATAGAACTGTATAAATTTAATTTGCTTCATAGTTTGCTTACATTACAGTCACAACATCTTACATAGGCTTTACTCAATATAAATCTGAAATTAATTAAAAGTACTTTAATTTTGGTGATACTGTGTTATAGTCAGGATAACATGAGATAAATAATTCCAGACAGAAAGAGATCTTTACAAGAATGATGACACAAGAAAAAAGACAAACTTGATTTCACCTAAAAAGTAATACAGGCAATGGTCACATAACATACAGTATACAATCAACCAACCAAAATACAAGTACTACAGGAGTACTTCAGAGCCGTTGCACAGGGGCAGCAGGTAACATTACAGATTTATACAGATCAGTTCAGTACAGAGTCCCTCAGTGAAAAAAGCCTGGTATTGCAAACATCGAGAAGGTACAAAGAAGCATTCTTGTTTTGTCTAGTGTACAGATTATTACAAGATGTCATGGGTTAGGTTACCTGATAGAAGGCTAGGTTTCTCCTGAAATATGTAGATTTGATAGAAACTTTTCTGTTCACAGACAGAGCACAACTTTGCTGTTTAGTTTTATTGATAATATCAATAGCTTTATGTTGTTACATTTCTCACTGTTAGAAGACAATCTAAAAACAATTTCCCACCACCTTTCAACATCAGATTGAGGGAGTGAGCTGAGCACTTTCAGAGCAGGGTTCTGTTTGTGCTCAACTATTGGAAGCCCTTTGAAACATCCCACTTTGTGGGTTGACAATGGATACTAGGGCTGTATTCAATGAGGGGAGACTCAAATGTTGCAAATAGAAATGTAACATATAGTGCAGACAATTCCAATCCTCTACCTGAAATACCACTGTATTGGTTCTACACAATACATTTTTATCTGAACGTTCTGTAACATTGCACACTCCTGAACAGGCCCAAGAGAAATGTGTTTTATTAGGGATGCATCATGCTGTTCAAACACACAGACCAATTGTTGATGCTGTACAGCCATTTTCTAATACTTCAGCATCCAGCAAGATCATCCATACAATAAACAAAGTTCAGTGCATAGGGATGATTACAACTTTGAAAAGGATGTGTGATGTGTATAACATGGTCATTCTCCGACTCTTTTGGATAAGGGCAATCTATAACAACAAACGCCTGCTTTTTGATACATCTTGAATGTGTTTTAATAAGTATGTGTGTGTCTTCAACAACATTGGGGGAAACAATTGACAACGTAGTAAAAGTCCTTCAATGCCCTGAGCAGATTTGGGAACGTAAGGCGAAGGTATCCTGGGGGAAATAAAGCTACAACTAATAACAGTATTTTAAAAAAACAACACCCAAACACACAAGATCCACCCCAATATAAAAACATAGAAAGGGATTGGCTTTGTGAGGGGGAAATGTAGCCTGGCTGGTGTGACCCACATGACTCACAGCGCAGGGAGAGCTGTTGTACACTGGTCTGGAAATAAGGCCATTAATGCAAAATTCACTCAGAAATTGAGCGATGGCTTTGATTGGTTCAATGAAATGTTATTTTTTCCCCTCAGAGGTTGAGACCTCTCGTTGTTTTGAAAATCCAACCGTTGTAATGTAAGTGGCGGCGCTCGGGGCCGTGCATGTGGGTATTTTAGTGAGAATGACACGGAGGAGAACCAACCAGTAAAAGCACAGCCCCCTTCATTATTGACGCATTGTGCCGACATCGAAGAGCCATTCCAGACTCTGAAGTCAGTAACTTTGAGAGTTAGGTGTTAGCCAGAATAGTGGAAATGATACAAAGGGTCTTAAAAACACCACTTTTGTTATTCAAACACTACCCAGATGCCGTTGAACACACACTTGATGGGCAGAGTTACAGTGTGACACACAGAGGCCAAATCTTGTGTTACCTGGTAGCCTAATCCATGATGACGTTGTAAAACACAAAGTTACCATGCCCAATCATCAACTCACTGTAGACTGAAGGCACTCTGCTATGCTAAAATAGTTGCAGTGCTCCGGACATACAGTGATACTATGGCTAGATTCATTATCCAATCGAACAATCTGCCCCTGGCTCTTGACAGTGATCCAACATACATGTGTGTGCGCTATTCTACATACAAGCAAATTGTTATTCACAAAGTTAAAATAGGGGCACCTAGATTCCAATATTCATATTTACCTAATAAAAGTGGACAACTTTCATACCTTGACAATGAGTTTAGAGTACCATAAGCACTTTAGTAGAGCGAATAACTTGGATTTGATATTGTGAAACTTGACCCTACCTGAACGTGTCAAACAGGACTGTATGCTACCCCAAAACCCAGTTTGGTGAAAGTAAATTCAAATACATACTGAATAGTCATTTAAAATGGCAAATAGAATCGATATCCGTGATAAAATCAAAGTGGGAATTTTTAATTTGTTCCTAGACATTTTGCTAAGCTCTGAGCACAAGTTGAAACGGTGGTTGAGGGAAAATAAATAGTGGCCGTATCTTGTGGGCTACAGTAAAATCTAGCTACTGTAGAGATATCGGCATCATGATTAGAACCTGGGTTACTACCTGAAGAATGTACAGTCAGAATGTGACTGCTCTTTCCTCCTCTGCATCCAGAATCATCAGAAATGAATAAAACATGTTAATATCACACCAGAGAGAAGGAGAGGGTGAAAGAGAGGGACATATGCAAACAGAGCCATGATAGGATGAAAGAAAAATACATAAGAAAAAAAAAAGAAAAAAACTGTAAAAATACCTATTATCAAAAAGTGTGCATGGTCAGCCTAAAACAACCCCCCTTCCCAAAACACAAACAAACTGTGCTATCCCACTCAATCAGTCAGAGGGTGCACCGAAACCAAGAACTGGTTAAAACCCAAATCCTGGTCCCTCTTTTTGTTTGCTCCCACATGCACTTCTTTCTCTGCCGAGTCTCTCCCACAATCCTTGTTTTTTCAGGCAGGCATGGGGACAGCCCCTCCCTTCAGCCAAGGCTATTCCCACTAACTGAAGAAGGAGCAGCACCAGCTCCATAGCAATGAATGTCCCTTTGTCCTCCCAACGCTAGAGCTCTGAGGGTGGGTAAGCGGTGAGCAGTGCACAGGGCTGTCCTTGCCTCCTGGTGCTGGCTGCTGGGTCTAGCTAGATAATAGTTGATGGGGCAGTCTAATATTCTCCCAATCCAATGTCTATGGGGATAGCTAGCCCGGGAGATAGAGAAACCAAGGACCTCCCAGGGACCACCACCACTCGCCAGTCCCAATGTTTAGCTCTGAAGCTGGGGGAGAGAGGGGGCCACCCTTCCCTTCCAGTCTCCCGGGCACTAGTTCTCTCTGGGATGGGTGAGAGGCAAATAGAGTAAGCCCATGGACCTAGCCTAGCAGTTGATGGAGGGACAGTCTGTCTTGCCCGCCGAGCTGATGATCCTCATGAGGCAGCGTCCGAACTCCTCCAGGATCATCCTCTCTGCGGTGGCCTGGGGCTGCTGGTTCAGCTCTGCCTGCTCAGCCTGCTCCAGCAGACACTCACACGTCACCTCCGCCACCTCCTTCGTCACAAACGTATAGGGCATCCTGGTGGAGAGAGGATGAGGAGATTAGCCACTGTTCTACAACAAGGCGAGAGGGGGTGAGACTGGAGAAGGGGAGGAGAGAGGGGGTGAGACTGGAGAAGGGGAGGAGAGAGGGGGTGAGGCTGGAGAAGGGGAGGAGAGAGGGGGTGAGACTGGAGAAGGGGAGGAGAGAGGGGGGTTGAGACTGGAGAAGGGGAGGAGAGAGGGGTTGAGGCTGGAGAACGGGGAGGAGAGAGGGGTTGAGACTGGAGAAGGGGAGGAGAGAGGGGGTGAGACTAGAGAAGGGGAGGAGAGAGGGGGTGAGACTAGAGAAGGGGAGGAGAGAGGGGGTGAGACTGGAGAAGGGGAGGAGAAAGGGGGTGAGACTGGAGAAGGGGAGGAGAGAGGGGGTGGAGACTGGAGAAGGGGAGAGAGAGGGGGTGAGAGACTGGAGAAGGGGAGGAGAGAGGGGGTGAGACTGGAGAAGGGGAGGAGAGAGGGGGTGAGACTGGAGAAGGGGAGGAGAGAGGGGGTGAGAATAGAGAAGGGGAGGAGAGAGGGGGTGAGACTAGAGAAGGGGAGGAGAGAGGGGGGTGAGACTGGAGAAGGGGAGGAGAGAGGGGTTGAGGCTGGAGAAGGGGAGGCGAGAGGGGGTGAGATGGAGAAGGGGAGGAGAGAGGGTGGTGAGAATAGAGAAGGGGAGGAGAGAGGGGGTGAGAGACTAGAGAAGGGGAGGAGAGAGGGGGTGAGACTGGAGAAGGGGAGGAGAGAGGGGGTGAGACTGGAGAAGGGGAGGAGAGAGGGGGTGAGACTGGAGAAGGGGAGGAGAGAGGGGATGAGGCTGGAAAAGGGGAGGAGAGAGGGGGTGAGACTGGAAAAGGGGAGGAGAGAGGGGGTGAGACTGGAGAAGGGGAGGAGAGAGGGGGTGAGGACTGGAGAAGGGGAGGAGAGAGGGGATGAGGCTGGAAAAGGGGAGGAGGAGGGGGTGAGACTGGAGAAGGGGAGGAGAGAGGGGGTGAGACTGGAGAAGGGGAGGCGAGAGGGGGTGAGACTGGAGAAGGGGAGGCGAGAGGGGGTGAGACTGGAGAAGGGAGGCTGGAGACGGGGAGCGTGGAGAAAATACATTACAGAAGATGCGTGGAGGAGAGGGGGTGAGTAGAGACGGGGTGAATCTAGAAAGGGGGTGAGGCCGGAGAGGGTGAGTCTAGAGAGGGAGGGAGTCTTACCTCCCTCCTCCGCTGGTGATGGCGGGGGTGGTCCGTGTAAGCAGGTCTGAGATCTGTGATGACAGCTTGGTCTTGGCTGCTGTCTGTTGTTGAACTCTGACCTCAGCTGCGTCGGCCAGGTGCATCAGAGTCTTCCTCTCAGGGCTCTCCTCAAAGTTCTTACAGCCCACACACTTACAGGTAGACGAGCACATGATCTTGGCCTGGCAGAGAGAGAGTCTCAACAAATAAGCAGGTGTGACCAAGAATCGGGTGTGCTACTAGTTGGTTGGAACAAAAGCCTGTACCCACCCCTTCAGGGATAAGATTGGCCACCCCCAGAGTACAACGTTATAGTCACCCGTATAAGGACCACCCTGGACTTGACCAGCCTTTACGACCAGGTCCACCTCTACAAGGCAGTAATCACAACTTTTGCCAGGACCCTGAAGGACGTCACCCTCAACCGCAGCACCTCACACAGCACACAGGAGCAACAGAGCAATGGATACCCTGCCAAGACCAGCGAGACACCCTCCCAGACCTGCGAGACCCCCTCCCGAAGGACTTGCACCGAGAGAACCCACGCCAAGAGGACCGACACCCAGACCACAGAATCACCAGCTGAGACCGCCCCAAACAAACCCTGACCACACCCTATATAGGCCCCACCTGATACATTCAGCAGTTCAACACCTCTTACAAAAACAAGCAGTGATGAAGTCAATAACTCTTCCACTCTGAGCCAGGAGAGACTGACATGCATGTCATTAATGTTAGCTCTCCATGGACATTTAAGGGCCAGCCGTGCTGCCCTGTTCTGAGCCAACTGCAATTTTCCCAAGTCCCTCTTTGTGTCACCTGACCACACTTCTGAACAGTAGTCTAGGTGCGACAAAACTAGGGCCTGTAGGACCTGCCTTGTTGATAGTGTTGTTAAGGAGGCAGAGCAGCGCTTAATTATGGACATACTTCTCCCAATCTTAGCTACTGTTGTATCAATATGCTTTGACCATGACAGTCTACAATCCAGGGTTACTCCAAGCAGTTTAGTCTCCTCAACTTGCTCAATTTCCACATGATTCATTAGGAGATGTAGTGCCACCTAAGAGGCATGTATCAGATGCTCAACATGCTCTGCTCACACGTACTGTGATGGTCTGGGCCTAAACCACACAAACACAACACTAGACACTATGGAACACAAAGCTTTTACTATCGCATCCTGGCATATACAAGGTCTGAGGTCATCTGCCTTTGGCCTAAAGAGCAGGAACCCAGAATTCATCAAAGAAATTGGAAATACAGACATTGTCATCCTACAAGAAACATGGTATAGAGAAGACGGACCCACTGGTTGCCCTCTAGATTACAGAGAGCTGGTAGTCCCATCCACCAAACTACCAGGTGTGAAACAGGGAAGAGACTTAGGGGGTATGCTAATTTGGTATAGAGCAGACCTAACCCACTATTAAATTAGTCTAAAACAAGAAAATGTTACATCTGGTGCAGAGAAAAATGTCCTCCTGTGTGCTACCTACAGTTGAAGTCGGAGGTTTACATACACCTTAGCCAAACACATTTAAACTCAGTTTTTCACAATTCCTGACATTTAATCCTAGTAAAAATTCCCTGTCTTAGGTCAGTTAGGATCACCACTTTATTTTAAGATTGTTAAATGTCAGAATAATAGTAGAGAGAATGATTTATTTCAGCATTTACTTCTTTCATCACATTCCCAGTGGGTCAGAAGTTTACATACACTCAATTCGTATTTGGTGGCATTGCCTTTAAATTGTTTAACTTGGGTCAAACATTTCGGGTAGCCTTCCACAAGCTTCCCACAATAATTTGGGTGAATTTTGGCCCATTCCTCCTGACAGAGCTGATGTAACTGAGTCAGGTTTGTAGACCTCCTTGCTCACGCACGCCTTTTCAGTTCTGCCCACAAATGTTCTATAGGATTGAGGTCAGGGCTTTGTGATGGCCACTCCAATACCTTGACTTTGTTGTCCTTAAGCCATTTTGCCACAACTTTGGAAGTATGCTTGGGGTCATTTTCCATTTGGAAGACCCATTTGCGACCAAGCTTTAACTTCCTGACTGATGTCTTGAGATGTTGCTTCAATATATCCACATAATTTTCCTTCCTCATGATGCCATCGATTTTGTGAAGTGCACCAGTCCCTCCTGTAGCAAAGCTCCCCCACAGCATGATGCTGCCACCCCCGTGCTTCACGGTTGGGATGGTGTTCTTCGACTAGTAAGCCCCCCCTTTTTCCTCCAAACATAACGATGGTCATTATGGCCAAACAGTTCTATTTTTGTTTCATCAGACCAGAGGACATTTCTCCAAAAAGTACGATCTTTGTCCCCATGTGCAGTTGCAAACCGTACTACTCTGGCTTTTTTATGGCGGTTTTGGAGCAGTGGCTTCTTCCTTGCTGAGCGGCCTTTCAGGTTATGTCGATATAGGACTCGTTTTACTGTGGATATAGATACTTTTGTACCTGTTTCCTCCAGCATCTTCACAAGGTCCTTTGCTGTTGTACTGGGATTGATTTGCACTTTTCGCACCAAAGTACGTTCATCTCTACGAGACCGAACGCGTCTCCTTCCTGAGCAGTATGACGGCTGCGTGGTCCCATGGTGTTTATACTTGCGTACTATTGTTTGTACAGATGAACGTGGTACCTTCAGGCATTTAGAAATTGCTCCCAAGGATGAACCAGACTTGTGGATGTCTACAATTTTTTTTCTGAAGTCTTGGCTGATTTATTTTTGATTTTCCCATGATGTCAAGCAAAGAGGCACTGAGTTTGAAGGTAGGCCTTGAAATACATCCACAGGTACACCTCCAATTGACTCAAATGATGTCAATTAGCCTATCAGAAGCTTCTATAGCCAGGACATCATTTTCTGGAATTTTCCAAGCTGTTTAAAGGCACACTCAACTTAGTGTATATAAACTTCTGACCCACTGGAATTGTGATACAGTGATAAGTAAAATAATCTGTCTGTAAACAATTGTTGGACAAATTACTTGTGTCATGCAAAGTATATGTCCTAACCGACTTGACAAAACTATAGTTTGTTAACAAGAAGTTTGTGGAGTGGTTGAAAAACGAGTTTTAATGATTCCAACATAAGTGTATGTAAACTTCCGACTTCAACTGTATATGCCCCCAATAGAATCTCCATACTTTCATGAAGACAGCTTCTCCATCCTAGATGGGGAGATCAACCATTTCCAGGCCCAGGGACATGTACTAGTCTGTGGGGACCTAAATGCCAGAACCTGACACCCAGCACACAGGGATAAAGAACTACCTGGAGGTGACAGTATTCCCTCCCAAATATACCCCCCTAGACACAACTATGACAAAACAACCAACAAAAACAGGTCACAACTCCTGCAGCTCTGTCGCACGCTGGGTCTGTACATAGTCAATGGTAGGCTTTGAGGACACTCCTATGGTAGGTACATCTACAGCTCATCCCTTGGCAGTAGTACTGTGGATTACTTTATCACTGACCTCAACCCAGAGTCTCTGTGTTCACAGTCAGCCCACTGACACCCCTATCAGATCACAGCAAAATCACAGTCTACTTGAACAGAGCAACACTCAATCATGAGCCATCAAAGCCAAAGGAAATGCACAATATAAAAAAAATGCTATAGAAGGAATGAAAGTAGAGTAGAAACCTACCAAAAAAAACAATTAGGCAACAACAGATTCAATCCCTTTTAGATAACTTCCTGGACAAAACATTTAACTGTATTACTGAAGGTGTGAACTTGGCAGTAGAAAGCCTAAACAGTATATTTTACATTTCAGCTTCCCTATCAAAGTAAGTAACAGCACGTTAGAAATCAGCTCAATGTAATTGAAGAATCCATAGAATCTAACCACTTCTGGGAAAATTGGAACACACTAAAAACAAAACACCACGAAGAGTTACAGTTAATTTGGAAAGTATTCAGACCCCTTCACTTTTTCCACATTTATATATATATTTTTTTTTTTTTTTCGTCATTTAGCAGACGCTCTTATCCAGAGCGACTTACAGGAGCAATTAGGGTTAAGTGCCTTGCTCAAGGGCACATCGACAGATTTTTCACCTAGTCGGCTCGGGGATTAGAACCAGCGACCTTTCGGTTACTGGCACAACGCTCTTACCCACTAAGCTACCTGCCGCCCTGTCGTTACGTTACAGCCTTATTCTGAAATGGGTTAAATAAATAAAAAATCTTCATCAATCTACACACAATACCCCATAATGACAAAGCGAAAACAGGTTTATGGACATTTTTGCAAATGTATTAAAAATAAAAAAACAGAAATACCTTATTTACATAAGTTTTCAGACCCTTTGCTTTCAGACTCGAAATTGAGCTCAGGTGCATCCTGTTTCCATTGATCCACCTTGAGATGTTTCTACAACTCGATTGAAGTCCACCTGTGGTAAATTCAATTGATTGGACATGATTTGGAAAGGCACACACCTGTCTATATAAGGTCCCACAGTTGACAGCGCATGTAAGAGCAAATACCAAGCCATGAGGTCAAAGGAATTGTCCATAGAGCTCCGAGACAGGATTGTGTCGAGGCACAGATCTGGGGAAGGGTACCAAAACATTTCTGAAGCATTGAAGGTCCCCAAGAACACAGTGGCCTCAATCATTCTTAAATTTAAGAAGTTTAGAACCACCAAGACTCTTCCTAGAGCTGGCCCCCCGGCCAAACTGAACAATCGGGGGAGAAGGGCCTTGTTCAGGGAGGTGACCAAGAACTCAATGGTCACTCTCCAGAGTTCCTCTGTGGAGATGGGAGAACCTTCCAGAAGGACAACCATCTGTGCAGCACTCCACCAATCAGGCCTTTATGGTAGAGTGACCAGACGGAAGCCACTCCTGAGTAAAAGGCACGACAGCCCGCTTGGAGTTTGCCAAAAGGCACCTAAAGGACTCTCAGACCATGAAATTAAATGATAAAATATACAGACCACAAATTCCAATTGGCTATACTTAAACTCTTTAACATCATCCTCAGCTCTGGCATCTTCCCCAATATTTGGAACCAAGGACTGATCACCCAAATCCACAAAGGTGGAGACAAATTTGACCCCAATGCGTCAACAGCAACCTTGGGGAAATCCTCTGCATTGTCATTAACAGCAGACTCATACATTTACTCATTGAAAACAATGTACTGAGCAAATGTCAAATTAGCTTTTTACCAAATTACCATACAACAGACCACATATTCACCCTGCACCCCCTAATTGATACAAACTATACGTACCTCGGCCTAAACATCAGCACCACAGGTAACTTCCACAAAGCTGTGAACGATCTGAGAGGCAAGAAGGGCCTTCTACGCCATCAAAAGGAACATAAAATTCAACATCCCAGTTAGGATCTGGCTAAAAATACTTGAATCAGTTTTAGAACCCATTGCTCTCCACGGTCTGGGGTCAGCTCACCAACAAAGAATTCACAAAAGGGGACAAACACCAAATTTAGACTCTGCATGCAGAATTCTGCAAAAACATCCTCCGTGTACAACGTAAAACACCAAATAATGCATGCAGAGCAGAATTAGGCCAATACCCGCTAATTATCAAAATCCAGAAAAGAGACGTTAAATTCCACAACCACCTAAAAGGAACCAATTCCCAAACCTTCCATAACAAAGCCATCACCTACAGAGAGATTAACCTGGAGAAGAGTCCCCTAAACAAGCTGGGCCTGGGGCTCTGTTCACAAACACAAACAGACCCCACAGAGCCCCAGGACAGCAACAGAATTAGACCCAACCAAATCATGAGAAAACAAAAAGAGAATTACTTGACACATTGTAAAGAGTTTACCCCCACCCCCCAAAAAAATTGGAATGCTATTTGGCCCTAAACAGGGAGTACACAGTGGCAGAATACCTGACCACCGTGACTGACACAAAATTAAGGAAAGCTTTGACTATGTACAGACTCAGTGAGCATAGCCTTGCTATTGAGAGAGGTCGCCGTAGGCAGACCTGGCTCTCAAGAGAAGACAGGCTATGGGCACACTTCCCACAAAACGAGGTGGAAACTGAGCTGCACATCCTAAACGCCTGCCAAATGTATGAACACATATTTCCCTCAGATTACCCAGACCCACAAAGAATTCGAAAACAAATCCAATTTAGATAAACTCCCATATCTATTGGGTGAAATACCACAGTGTGCCATCACAGCAGCAAGATGTGTGACCTGTTGCCACAAGAAAAGGGCAACCAGTGATTAACAAACACCATTGTAAGTACAACCCATATTTATATAATTTCCCTTTAGTACTTTAACTATTTGCACATCGTTATAACACCATAATATGACGTCTCTATTCCTTTGAAACTTTTGTGAGTGTAATGTTTACTGCTCATTTTTTATTGTTCATTTCGCTTGCGAGAGAGAGAGAGAGAGAGAGAGCGAGAGCGAGAGAGCGAGAGAGCGAGAGAGCGAGAGAGAGGGGACCCACCTCGTAACACTCGCAGTAGTTCTTCAGGCAGCCTGAGCGTTTACAGTTGCAGCCTTTGCTGTGCCTGCGGTCCGACTCGCCCTCTTTACCTTTCCCGATCTTCGGCTTGAACGCCTCCGGGTTACGGTCCAGACAAGCCTGGGGAAATTATACACTCCTTTTAAAACAACTCTTTACACAAGGAGTCAGATCCAACTGCCAGTTACTTATTACACAAGGCCAAATCATAACACTAATCAAGGAGTACATTTATCACACCAAGCTTTTCTTTCACACAAAAGCCAAGGCAAATAAGGTGAGAGAAATACAGTTGAGTCAAATCTGATTTGTCTCAACTGTATGGTCTCCCGAGTGGCGCAGTGGTCTAAGGCTGTGCCACTAGAGATCCTGGTTCGAATCCAGGCTCTGTCGTAGCCGGCCGCGACTGGGAGACCCATGGGGCGGCGCACAATTGGCCCAGCGTCGTCCAGGGTATGGGAGGGAATGGCCGGCAGGGATGTAGCTCAGTTGGTAGAGCATGGCGTTTGCAACGCCAGGGTTGTGGGTTTGATTCCCACGGGGGGCCAGTATGAAAAAATAAAAAAATAATCATGTATGCACTCACTAACTGTAAGTCGCTCTGGATAAGAGCGTCTGCTAAATGACTAAAATGTAATGTAAATGTCTTGTGGCTGCGTCTTGTTCCTCACCTTGATGGCTTTAGCTCGATCTGTCTCGTGTTCCAGGTTGTTGAAGCAGTTAGTACAGTTACAGCTCTGACAGAACTCCCCGTTGGCAAAACAGTCACAGTACCTGCAGAGAGAGCATTCAGACAACATACACAGCTAGAGGTTAGGCCCATCTCAAATGACGTCTACATGTCTAAATACAGGAGATTTCTTTTTTAAAGCTGGAATCCTGTTACACATGAACAGTTGAGTAGGTTGAGTTCCCTGTAAGTTAATATAGTACGTACAGTTTGAGACACTGAGACTTGGTGCAGTTACAGGGCTTCCGTGGCCTGAAGGCAGTGCCTGATGTTGATAAGCTGTGGAAGGAGGGAATATGCTTAGAATTAGTCAGTGCATTGAGTTTATATAACATTTCATATCAAAAGGGATTTAAAACCCATCAAAACAAAGGTGCTTTATCACAAACAGTGTTTTTACTGACAAGGACTTATTTTCCACCAAACCACAGATCATATTTCAGCTGGGGATTTCCCCTGTGTGGTGTTGTGCTTACCCATTGAGAGGCAGTCTGGCCTGAGTCTGAATGTCTGTAGGGGTGGAGAACCCAGAGCTGCTGGCCAGAGTCACATATGCCGACTGCTGGAGCTGGAGAAGGGAGAGATAGACGTGTTAGAGCACCGACACACACACACACACACGTTTAAAATGCATTCAACACACATCCCAGTCCTGTACCTGTGTGACGTATTGTGCGGGCAGCACGGCATAACCCATGTTTCCAGAGCCAGGGGCAGGCGCCAGCACGGTGCCCGGGGGTAGGTTGGTGAGGTTAGGCTGAATCTGGGGCAGCGATGTGGCGGGCATGATCAACCTCTGCTGGGTCTGAGTGGTCAGCACCTGGCCCGACGATGTCAAGGGCTTAGGCACCACCTGAGAGAGGGGGAGAACACTGAAGGTTAGTTCAATTACACTGCATGTTGTCGTGGCTGAGTGAATGACTGAGTAGGGGGGCAATTAAATATGTAAGCAAGTAGTGTGTTTGTGTGTGTTTCACCTGCTTCATTGTCTGTGCTGGGACAATGGGGACAGACATCCTGACTTGGGTTGTGTTGACCACCAAGGGCTTGGCTGTGGAAGGAAAACAGGTCATATTAAATACTGTTGCATATGCTCTTGTATATTTATGGCACTGTTTGGACCTAAAATCCTTCCCCTGCCACTCTGTATGGATGGTGAGTTGCGAGTCTGTCTCCTACCTGTCATGGATGAGTTGGTGATGGGGCTGCCGGCCTGTCCCGTGCTGCTGCCCGTGGTGGCAGTGACCAGCCTGACGTAGTGGAAGCGGCTGCCTGGCACCTGGATCTGCTGCACGTTGGACGGAGTGGACAGGGGAAAGATGGTCTTAAACTGGGGGGCGCCCACCCCTCCCACCGTCACAGTCTGCACAGGCTTCATGGTCTGTGAGGAGAGGGGAGAAAATGGTCAAGATCATTTCCAAGAGCATCAGCAGTAGCATGCCTGATTATCAAGGTCTTGGTGATTAGTTGGCTAGTTGAATCAGGTGTTCCAGTGTTTGAATTAAACAAAATGTGCAGTCCTGGGGGTCCTAGAGGACCAAAGTTGAGAAACACTGTTATAGAGGCTAGTTGTACCTGCGCAGTAGAATGGCTGGAGACTACCTTGGCTGGGGAGGTGGCTGTAGACTGTTGTACTAGTATCTGATGTCCAAGGTGGGCCATGTTGAGAGGCAGAGATACTGACTTCTGAGGGGAGTTGGGGACCTGGGAGGCCACCGACACCACCGTCAACTGTCACACAAAGAGAAAACAGAATGATATGTTTACTAATACATGTCAATAGCTCCATGTTGTCATCCAAACACAAAATGGAAGAAAACTCAGGTTCCAACTGCAACTTTTTTTTTCTCACTGGCCCGGACATGGTGTAGTTTTTAAATGGATTGGGGTCATGCAGGGCCTATAGGTTGGCATGCTTTCTCTCTATATGCAGCTATTAAATATGCTACATTTGGTTATTATGATATGTATTAAAAACCGGTGTAATATACACTGTGTACAAAACATTATGAACACCTGCTCTTTCCATGACAGACTGACCAGGTGAAAGCTATGATCCCTTATTGATGTCACCTGTTAAATCCACTTCAATCAGTGTAGATGAAGGGGAGGAGACAGGTTAAAGAAGGATGTTTAAGCCTTAAGACATGTATTGTGTATGTGTGCCATTCAGAGGGTGAATGGGCAAGACAAAAGATTTAAGTGCCTTTGAATTGGGTATGGTAGTAGGTGCCAGGCGCACCGGTTTGAGTGTGTCAAGAACCGCAACGCTGCTGGGTTTTTCACACTGTATCAAGAATGGTCCACCACCCAAAGGACATCCAGCCAACTTGATACAACTGTGGGAAGCATTGGAGTCAACATGGGCCAGCATCCCTGTGGAATGCTTTCGACACCTTGTAGAGTCCATGTCCCAACGTATTGAGGCTGTTCTGAGGGCAAAAAGGGGTGCAACTCAATATTAGGAAGGTGTTCCTAACGTTTTGTACACTCAGTATAATTTATTATTATTATAATAATAATAATAATACGCCATTTAGCAGACGCTTTTATCCAAAGCGACTTAGTCATGTGTGCATACATTTTTACGTATGGGTGGTCCCGGGGATCGAACCCACTACCCTGGCGTTACACGCGCCATGCTCTACCAATTGAGCTACAGAGGACCACTTTTTACCACCAATTTAGCAATGCAAGTCATTACTCTATTCTTTAGAATTGAAATGTATTAACTGCATTCATTTTTGTTTCTAAAGTATGTCATTTTGAGAATAAAAAATGTTTTCATCTCAAAATAGGACGCTGCTCCTTTAAGACAATTGGGTTCAAAATATATGGACCTGGCTACAGTAGGCTAGCCAAGATAAATGCTAAAGTGTATTTTTGCAGACTATCAACAGCAGCCAGCATATTTGCTAGTATGTTCACTATTGTAGGTTTACTTTTGTAAATCACTTTCCTTAGTTAAAATAAATAAACTGAACGAGTAGATTGATGGGCGCTTCATTTTGCTCAGGACATCTCGCGTGTGCCGTGTGAAGGCATCAACTCATGTACTGCTCGAGTGCTCAAGAAGTTGTGACTCACGGGAGCGTGGTGGTGCTTTAATGAACGGCCAATCATATTGCTCAAATACAAATAACATGACTTTTACGTATGTAGTCTTCAATGGTAGACTGCGACAGATCAGGTAAATGTTGAACTGGAAATCAAAAAGTAGATCCACTGGCTGGAAATGCGTTTACTGGCCCCGGGCGTTAATGTCGGCCCCTGAAACTGCACTGGTTCTCTCTCCCTCGCTCAAAGTGGGGTCAGAGGGATTGAATGGCAGCATGTCCGACCTTGCTGGGCGACTTGAGGGGGGAGATGGCGATCTTGCTGCTAGAGCTGGAGCTGAGGGTCTCAGAGAGGGTGATGGTCCGCGGGGGGGGTCACTGGGCTGCTTGTGGACAGGACTCGACCTGGGTGGGTGGGGTTAGGGGAGGGCACAGAATCACAACAATGAGGTCAGAACCAGTTGGGGCAGGGATAAAAGTCTATATACATTTCTATGGCTCAAAGCAGTTATAACACAGGCTGAACTTTCAATGTGGCACATTGCAAACCAACCATTATTTCTATGAAGATGTCAATATGAAGAGCATGTCAGGGGGATTACCTGTAATGACATTGGATACTGATGTCTGGGCAGTCAGACCTTTGTTGTTGACAGCTTTAGTGAAGACGAACTTGATTGGTCCAGCCGACGACACCTGGGTTTTCTTAGCAATCTATTGAGAAATATGTTAATTTACCTTCCATGCACAAACTACAGCTTAGAGATAAAGACCAGACCTATAAAGCATGCCAACATCATCCACCATAAAAATTGTTTACAGTATTTGCTTCTAAATAAAGTTTTGAATAGGTTTTATTTAATCATTTCAACATTTAGGTTTGGACAACTGCCAATAAAAAAAAATCTGCAAAACTCAAAATGTTTCTGTAAATAGCAATGATGTGGAATTGCCCAGCTCCTTTCACCAACCAAGTAAATGCATGGGACTGTACTTGAAATAAAGATGATCACATATCGTGTTTGTGGAGGGGTGATGGTGGGGGTTACAGTTGGGCATTGATTTCCAACCTTATAAGGCTCTTCATGACAACACATAGCTAAATTAATCTCCACACTACAAAATGTGAGCACAGCAGAGCAAAGGAACTGAATGCCTTTCTGATGAATTGGGAAGAATTCAGACCCTTGAGACAAAAAGGTAAACAAGTCAATAAACAAGTAAACAAACAGGTCTCACCTGTACAGTCTTCAGCTGCTGGGCCTGCAGGGTGGACACCTGACTGGCCGAGCTGACCGCCTGCCCCACCATGATTGGTTTCAGGTCCGTCCTCACCCCTCTTGTCACCACCTTGAAATGCTGCGGGTTGGCTTTGGCCTCCCCCAGACCCTGCACTGAGCCAGGCTTGGAGCCTGTGTGGGGCAGCTGCAGCACAATGGGTTGGCCTGACTTCCCTATGGCCGTCACCATGAACTTCTGGCCCCCTGGAGTAGTGGTGGTGGTAGTGGGGGTGGTGGTGCCTGGGGACCTGGTGGTGTCTGCGCCCGGGGATGAGGCCACCTTGTTTAGGATGATCTGGTGGTTGGCTGAGAGGGTGAAGGGGGCTGAGAGCTTCTGTAAGCCCCCCGAGGTGAGACTGACCCGGGCCAGGCTGCTGGTGGTTTTGGGGGTGGTTGAGGTGAGGGTGGAGGCTGTGGCGGGTCGCAGGGTGAGGGAGGAGGATGAAGCCGTGGAGGGGGTGAGGAGGAGCTGGGTAGCAGAGGTGGTGCTACAGAGGGTGGAACCTGTGGTGGTGGAGGTGGTCCCGGCTTGGGTCCGCTGGGTCGGAGGGGCGTCCGAACACAGGCTTACGATCTCTGGGACAGCGGGCACATCCGTTTCCATGGGGACTGGTGCGTCGTCACTGGGCTGTGATTGGCCAGAGGCTGCAGGGGACTCGGAGGGGGGGTCATCATCCATGACGATGGCCTCTGTGTCCATGATCTCATCAGGGAGGAGGCTGTTCAGCTCTGGCGACACCACGTCCATGTCTGCAGGTTTACACTCAGCTCAACTCAGTCACTGCTGGAGACAGAACACAAAGCATCAGAATGTCAGTCCAATAGCTCCACCAAGCTATTAGATGTGTAAAACAACTTTTCTTTCAGTAGAATGACTGACAGGAAAGTACCAGTACACAAACAATACATATATATATAGCGGCTCCTTCTGGGATATAAACATGCATTTCTAACCAGAGGTTTTTTGCTTCCTGCTTGGTGCCCATAAACAATTGTTAGGCAACCAAGAACAATTAGAGAAGTATTTTCTATGTAAAAAAAAATACAAACAGTGAGATGCCTAGTGGGATGACTAAACCTGAATGACTGGATATGATGTTGCACACACACACCACTGCAAAGACAATGAAAGTCGCAAAACCCATCACCATGGATTTGAATGATGTCATTGTCACAATATACAGCCAAAACATGCAGTGTGTGACATTAGTGAATATATTAGATTTATACATCTACTATCAAAAACACAAGCGCAAATACACCAAATAGTTTCAAAGACGGCAATGAATTCATAAGCAATGAAAAAGGTGTTACAGAACACATACACAGACAACGCAACATCAAGTACTTGACCTTACAGGTTAAATTCATAAATAACCTGTTTAGCTAGCTAGCATTAGCAATGTTGCAATGGATTTGTAGCGGTAACTAACAGTGCTATCTATGGTCGCGAACACTAGCTAGCTAAACTCACGACGTTGAATACGCTAACGTTAGTTTAGCTAGCCACCAAGAACAATAACAACATTTGTTTATGCAACGACATTATGATCCTAACTTTGATTGCAACACAACTAAATAAAAAGATGACTTTGCAACAAAATCCGCCTAATCTCGAACGGTGCAAATTAAATAGCTTAGCTAACATGTCATGGATTGCATAGCGGAGGTGTAGATAGCTGGTTAGCTAGCCTTGCTAGGCCGCTTTGGACATCCCAGAAAATAAATATTTGTCCTACCTCCGCCATACGCAAAATAAGACAGATAGGATACTATACAAGTTGAAAAACTATGGGGAGGGGGAGGGGGGGGGGTCGATGTTAATCCCCTCAATTTTCGATAGGATATATGATCGGCCCTGCTTGTTGTTTTCTCAACTATCAAGCAGCCTGTCAAAATCATGAATTTGTGACAGGGACAGCACTGTGAAAACGACCAGCTATAGTTTGCTAGCTACATTTCTATATTTTCAGGCCGGGTTGGATTTCGAAATATCCGCCATTTTCACCTCGTCATGAGTTCAACTAAAGAGATGAGAGGAAGAAAGAGCAATAGATATGAACGCCCATGTCAGGAATCTTGTTTACCAATGAAGTAATGGGGGCACAGTTTGCAATAGATTACCTGGTAGTGCAACACAGTAATAATAGTAAAAGTACTCCGCCTTTTGTCACCTACTGTAACAGGCCATATGAACCTGCAAATACTTGCATGATACTCTGTGTAGAACTATACAACTTACGTAAATAACGTCACGAATAATACATCTAAATTCTCTCAAATGTCCACATTTGTAAACAACTGGTGAACTGATATTTTGTGTTTTTGGTAAACCTATTCAAATGTAAAATAAGCACATTCATTAGAACAACGCTTAATACAGTCGTTTGTCACAGAACAAACAACCAGAGACCTAAATAAAATGGGGATATGACTTCCCTTTGGAAGAACGAAACCTTGAGAGGAACCCTCGACGTAATCATCTGACTATTTGACCATCAAAGCCCCAGCTGCTTTCAAGCCATTTCACAAAGCAGACACACAGACTAGACTATGAAGGTATTTTTTCCCCCGTCTAGCCAACATTGAATAGACAGGATTACTACAGTAGCATTAACCCCTGAAAGCTAAACAATGACAGGCCCTGATGGCAAACTGGCCTAGCAAAATCAGAAATTGCTGTCCATCTGTCGGGGTGCTGGAAACAAACTAGAGGGCTGAATTTGCAATTAATTTGATGTCATTATAATCACACAAAGTTACAGGCTGAATAATCAATGTATCTCTCAAACATCAACAAAATAATAATTAGCTATGAAATCTATGCAACGTTGATAATAGTTTCCTTTATTTTACATTTTTTACATTTTAGTCATTTAGCAGACGCTCTTATCCAGAGCGACTTACAGTTTGTGAGTGCATACATTTTCATACTGGCCCCCCGTGGGAAACGAACCCACAACTCTGGCGTTGCAAGCGCCATGCTCTACCAACAGAGCTACAGTGGACTTTATCTGAATGAATGGTGAATAAAGTTAATGAATATTTTCCAACGTCTTCATATCGCTCCAACAACATGAATCCTATAACAGTACTAAACTACGTTAGCTAGTTAGAATAAGGTATTTCCACAGTTTCTGAGTACATAACTACTGACTGTAACGTTACTATATTTTGTATCTTCCTATGCTGCTAGCTAGCTGTCTGCTAACTGGCCAAATGGATATCATCAGCTGTTAACGTTATCTAGCTAGTTAGCAAGCATAGCCAGCAGTAACAAAATTATTGCCCCTTTCACACAGCAAACAGATTCTTACGTGGTTTGTTTTTTCCCCTTGAAGCAATGATTTTAGTGTCTCGAAACGCCTTAACGCACATACTCCTTCGCCGCTCCGTACAGACGGAGAAACGCAGACGATTGTTCAAAATACCGCGCCGATCGCCATTTCACCCCTAACATCCCATAATAATGTCACGCACTCCTTGACAACCACATGGCGCGTCATTGAACGAACTACTTCCGGCCTCGCTCTCAGCGTGTGATAGATCTACACAACTAGCTACAGGTAACTGACAAAATAAAGGAAACACTTGAGTAAATCAGGGATACAAAGCGAGGCAAATTGTATTAACCTGAGCCGCGGTGCACCTAATGATTTATATATACACTATATTACTATTAGGGGGCGCTGTGTTGAAGCCACCGTGCCTCCATAATTTATTAATGTCTACATTCGTTTTTGCCACAATTATTATACTACAGACACCTTAATGCATACTTTTAAATGATATTATGTGAGCTAAACATGAAAAAAAAAATAGAAAATATGTAAGTATAATTTTTGTCCTTGAAACATGAACTGCTCTTACTAGGGAGTGCTGTTGGCTCCCAAGCCAAAACATAACATCAGCAATTCAGGGTTTATACACTACCAGTCAAAAGTTTGGACACACCTACTCATTCAAGGTGTTTTCTTTATTTTTACTATTTTTTACATTGTACAATAATAGTGAAGACATCAAAACTATGAAATAACACATATGGAATCATGTAGTAAACAAAAAAGTGTTAAACAAATCAAAGTATATTTTATATTTCAGAATCTTCAAATAGCCACCCTTATTCTACAATGTAGAAAATAGTACAAGGTCTATTCCACGTTGGTTCAACGTCATTTAACTGACATGAAAACAACATTGATTCAACCAGTGTGTGCCCAGTGGGCCCAGTGGGATACTTTGTATTCCATGTTATAGAGCAGTTTCTCGGGAACACGGAACACTTTATTTCATGTGGATAGGATTTACCATTGCTGACATTATTTTTGAAGTGATCGGAAAAGGTCAAAAAGGTTGCAGACAGGTCAATGATAATCCGTTATCAATAAGGCACCTAATCACCTGTCTGTAATCTTAAATTCAACACTTTTTGTCCAATATTTCCAGATAGGGTGGTCATATTGTTATGACATCTTCAGGGCTGATGTACAACATAGAGATGATTCATATACAAGTAAAATGTATTAAATGAATATGCGTATTATGCAAATTGTGAGTTAATATGCTAATTAGACAGTACGGAATACATAATTACAGTAACTCCAGCCCAATAATTTAAGGTAGGGTGGTCGTATAATTAACAAATTCCTCAGTGTCCACATCACTAAGGAATTATCATCGTCCACACACACCCACACAATCTTGAAGAAGGTACAACAACGCCTCTTTCCCCTTCAGGAGGCTGAAAAGATTAGGCATGGGCTCTCAGATCCTCAAAAAGTTATACAGCTACACCATTGAGAGCATCTTGACTAGCTGCATCACCGCTTGGTATGGCAACTGCTTGGCATACGACTACAAGGCGTTACAGAATGTAGTGCGTACGGCCCTGTACATCACTGGGGCCGAGCTCCCTGCCATCCAGGACCTCTATACCAGGCAGTGTCAGAGGAAGGCTCTAAAAATGATCAAAGACTCCAGCCACCCAAGTCATAGACTGTTCTCTCTGCCACCGCACGGCAAGCAGTACCAATGCACCAAGTCTGGAACTAACAGGACTATAAATTGCTTCTACCCCCAAGTCATATTACTGCTAAATAGTTAGTTAAATAGTTAACCAAATAGCTACCCGGACTATCTGCATTTACCCTTTTTGCACTAACTTTTTTGACTCATCACATACGCTGCTGCTACTGTTTATTAGCTATCCTGTTGCATAGTCACCCTATTCCTAGTTATATGTACATATCTACCTCAATTACCACGTACCCCAGCACATCGACTTGGTACCGCTACCCCGTGTATATAGCGAAGTTATCGTTACTCATTGTGTATTTATTATACAATTTATTATTACGTGTTATTACTTTTCTATTATTTCTCTATTTTCTTTCTATCTGCATTGTTGCGAAGGGCCCGTAAGAAAGTACAGTATTTCACTGTTAGTCTACACCTGTTGTTTACGAAGCATGTGACGAATACAATTTGATTTGATTTTTGACTCGGTACTGGTACCCGGTGTATATAGCCAAGTTATCATTACTCGTTGTGTATTTATTACATGAGTTATTATTTTTCTATTATTTCTCAATTGTTCTTTGTGCATTGTTGGGAAGGGCCCGTAATTAAGCATTTCACTGTTAGTCTACACTTGTTGTTTACGGCACATGTGACAAATAAACATTTTTAGCCTGTGCAAAGTCCTCCCACCGGGGTAACCTGGTGCTTCGGCACAAGTGTGGTTTCGTAGTTAATTAAGTCATTAACATCCCATCATGCTTAGGCTCATGTATAAAAATGCACAGTTGCCCATTATTTTCAATTTGGCTACCATGGCTACAAGAAGAGATCTCAGTGACTTTGAAAGAGGGGTCTCAAAGGAGCATTGAAGCTGTTCTGGCGGCTCATGTTGCCCAACGCGCTATTAAGGCCCTTTATGCTGGTGTTTCCTTTATTTTGCCAGTTACCTGTAGATCAGCAAGGCTGTACAGTTCACAAAAACAACGATTTTGAATATAAATCAATCATTACTTATTTGGTCACATTTAACCACTGATGTAACAACATGTACATACATACAGTAGTCTTAATGTAATTGATTAAATCTCAAAACACTGAATTCGGTATAGGCTAAACACCATCTTTAACGTTCCCAGGCTGGGGCCCTGGGGCCTCTGTCCTCATGGTCTTCCAGGCTCTCTGTACCACACTGCTACTGTGACAGAGATAAAGAGATGGGCCGCGTCTCAAATCAAAACAAATTGTATTTGTCACATGCGCCGAATACCACAAGTGTAGACTTTACAGTGAAATGCTTACTTAAGAGCCCTTTCCCCAAAATGCAGTTAAAAAGTATAAAAATGAACAAAGACAACAGTAACACAATAACATAACACAATAAAATAAACATAATGAGGCTATATACAGGCAGGCACCCTATTCCCTTTATATAGTGAAAAACCTTTGACCAGGGCACATAGGGTTCACATAGGCATGTATTTTGTCCGTCCATACTAGTATGCAACGTTTCTTTAGAAAACACAGACAATACAGGGAATGAGGAGGGTGTTCAAATGTAGATGTGAATTTTTTTTAAAATCAGTATTCTGCTGAAATGCAACAAGACATTTTCACAGAAAGAACACCTGGAAGATGCTTTGGTCAAATTCAAACTATTGTTGTTGCTAGTCAAGTGCACTGTATACTGTAATGCAATACATGTGTTCTTGTTAAAAAATATGACCCTTCCTGAGGCATTATGAATTATGATGATGATGATGATGATGATAGATGATGATGATGATGATGATGATGATGATGATGATATTGTCCATAGATGCCCCTCATTTGTTCTACTTCATCTAAGGAAGGCCCTAAAAATTTTCAAGGACTTCAACTACCCAAGTCATAGACTGTTCTCTCTGCTACCACACAGCAAGCGGTACCGGAGTGCGAAGTCTAGGTCCAAAAGGCTCCTTAACAGCTTCTACCCCCAAGCCATAAGACTGCTGAACAGTTAATCAAATGGCTACCCAGACTATTTGCATTGACCCCCCCCCCCCCCCCCCCTTTTTTTACGCTGCTGCTACACGCTGTTTATTATCTATGCATAGTCACTTTACCCCTACCTACATGTACATATTACCTCAATTACCACAACCAACCTGTAGCCCCGCACATTGACTCGGTACCGGTACCCCCTGTATATAGGCTCGGTATTGTTATTATATTGTGTTACTTTTTTAAAATGTATTTAGTAAATATTTTCTTAACTTAAAACTGCATTGTTGGTTAAGGGCTTGTAAGTAAGCATTTCACAGTTGTATTCAGCGCATGTGACAAATACATTTTGATTCGATTTGATTTGATTTGATCTAAGGGTCTGTCCCAAATAGAACTCTATTCTCTATAAAGTGCACTGCTTTTGACCTGGTCAAAAGTATGTACTACATAGGGAATAGGGTACCATTTGGGACATAACCTAAGAGCTAACCTTTTACCTTTCAGCTGGCAATTAGACTCTTGTTGTGCCTTGTCACATTGTTTATGTTTTGGCATGCAGTCATTCTTTTCTCATGTCTGCCATTTAGTTGTTCAGGTACTGTATGGGCTACATCTAAGGTGTGTTGTGTTAAATCACACCTGTGTTAACATGAGAAAATAATGACAGCTGCCAAAGCATAAAAAATGTGACAAGGCACAGGAGTCCAATTAGGTAGGTCATAGTGGGATTGAGTCGCGTCACATGAAAACAAACATGTCTGACTTCAGTGTTTGAGGGTCTACATGACAAAGAAATCAGTACAATTTATCATATTGGACGTGGGGGAAATTGGAAGAGTAGGGGGAGTCGGAGGAGAAATGTCGTCCCTAGACAAGGCAAGAACTTGATGTATGTCAGGAGAAGTGCAGTACTATCATAAGGAGACTTATACTTGGAATACGGAGGAGGAATGGAAGGAAAAAGAGAGGCAGAGGAGGTCTAAGAGAGAGAGGGAGGAAGAGGGTGAACTTGAGTCGGTTAAAAATGGCGGGAAAAGGGAGATGGTTTGTTAAAGAAGAATGGTAGAAAGTGTAAACAGAGTGAGTTGAAGACAGGGGGAGAAATGGAAGTGAATGAGGGCAAAGTATTGGAGGTGGTAGCTGTGGTGAAGTTCTCGGAGCCCGAGGTTTGCACCGAGGGTCAGGATAAAGATGAGTCTGTGACAGTAGGAGTGAAGTTTTTGGAAAAAGTGGACCCTTGCCTTTTGGCTGATCCATTTGTGGTTTCAGGGTTGGTGAAAACAGAGTTGGGTGCTGTGAAATCAGTGAGGGTAACCAGAAGTGGTCTGGTGATAATTGTTTGTGTTTCTGCTGGTCAGAGGGAGCAGGCGCTCCGTGTTAAACAAATGGGGGCAAGAAATGTGAATTGTTTTGCTCTCAAGAAAAGGGCGCCATTGGAATGCGTGATTACTGCGGTAGCGGTAAATGTGAAAGCTGACCAACTGAAGGGGAAGATTCCCCGTTTTTGTGATGCTCGTCGTTTGGTGCGATGCAGACAGGGTGGCGTGAGTGGAGAAACAGAAGAGTCATTGTCTGTTCTTTTGAATTTTGATGTTGAGACTTTGCCCGACAAAGTGATGTGAGGATATATAAGTTATCCGGTACAAGCTTTTGTGCCCAATACGTTACGTTGTTACAGGTGTCAAGATTATGGGTATGTGGCAGCAGTATGTAGGAGGGAGGTTCCTAGGTGTGAGAAGTGTGCAGAAGGGCATGAGACAAAGGAATGTGTAGCATTGGGGAAAGTAGTGATATGTGTTAATTGTAGGGGTGCCCATGGGGCTGGGGATCCGAAATGTCCGGTGCGAGAGAGGCAGGTTGAGGTTTCCAGGGTTAGAGTAGTGCAGAAGTTGTCATATGCTGAGGCAGTGAAGAAAGTAGAGGAAGATGGGTCAAGGGGGAGGGATCCTGAGAGGAATGGTGTGAGTAGTAGATCTGTACCAGTACAGAGGGATAAACCAACAAGTGATATATGTTTCAGTAAGATTCGATTTTTGCCATTTATAACAATGGTTATGAACTGTACTGCAGGGATGGAACGTAAGTTAAGTGGTGGTGTCGCATCCCTTCAGGCTGTTGGCCTGAAGTAGGAATAAATATATTTAAATAGTGGAGTATGGTAGTTATTATTTTTTTTATTTTTTTTGAGTGTAGTGTTAGATGGTAGGGTATTTGTGGTATTTTTATTTTATTTTTTAAAGCGAAGTATAAGGGAGTTATACTCCAGTCTAGTAGGTGGCGGTAATTCAACATTTATTGGATGCCAACCGCTGTTAAACTTAATCGAAGAAGAAGAAAAGGCGTCTAATTCTTTGGAAAATACAGACGTGAAAAATAACTTTTTATTCAGTAAAACTTTGTTAGAAGTTGCACTGTTACAGTCAAATATTAAAATGTCTCATAGTAATATCAGAAAAGTCTAAAGAGCAAACTAAACTCAGTTTTAGAGACCAACATGAGAGCTGTACAGATCTGTTACTAGTCTTGGAGGACCTTCTAGGCGTTCCCTGTGTAGGGTGGGCAGCATACCCTCTTGTCGGCTGAGAATTCTCGTTGTTGACACTTCGTCGGAGAAAATGGCGACTGGAGTGAGACAGGAGCTTGCACAGCTTATGAATTCAAGCGGATCTCACAAAGATCTCGCTGGAAAGTATGTATTGGCCAAAATGGATGAAAATATATATGCATGGAGATATACATTACTTTAGACCTGAGTGTCATGTTTACAGTTAATTATAAATATGTCAATGAGCAGCCCGCCGATGCTAGCTAGCAACAGCTATTAGCATCACACTGCGGCTAGCATAGGTAGTTAGACGTTTTACCGGTATGTAGCTAACTACCGGTATGTTAGCTAATATTAGTTAGCTAGCTAGCTAGACAGTGTCTGTGGATAAAAGTATTGCCAAATGTATTGTGTTGTCAACAGTGTGCACTGGTCGATTAGCTACAGTTAATTTTATTAACGTCAGCTAGCTATGGCTTTTAGTAATGTAACTAGCTAGCTTAAGATAGCTAACCCATTTAGCTAGCTAACTGTAGTTGGCTTTTGATTTGATGTGTGTATTGATTTGCATTTGGTATTGCAGGCTTGCTATTCCATTTCCATTGTCATTTCAGAAAGTGCCTTAGTGAAAATAATTGTCAATTCTTAAGTCATGAATATAATTTCTCATTTAAGATAGCTAGCTAGCTAATACACCCCTTGTTTTATCAATTGTAGATATCGACAGATTCTTGAGAAGGCCATCCAATTCACAGATGCAGAACAATTGGAATCATTAAAAGCATTCGTTGAAGCAAGTACGTATCCTGTATAAAGTAAAGGATAGAATAAGTCCTGCTTACCATTTACTAACCTGTTACATAAAGTCCCCCTTTTCCTTTGTACAATCATTACTCATAAATCACATTACTGTAAATCCTTTCTAACTGTAATACTCTCCTGTCCTGCAGTGGTCAATGAGAACGTCAGCTTAGTGATCTCTAGACAGCTGCTGACAGACTTCTGCACAAACATACCCAGTCTTCCTGACAGCACAGCCAAGTCAGTTTACCACTTCACACTAGAGAAGATACAGCCCAGGGTCATCTCATTTGAAGAACAGGTGAGTACTGTAATCATTTCCTCGGGGGCCTGAGTATCTGCTGGTTTGACCTTTTGTCTGGCACTTGATTGCTCACCAAGTGCACAGTGCACACACCTGGTTTCCCAGATCTAGCCTAGACACTGGTTTGAAATAAATAATACAAATGTCTACCCTATGTCTAAATCCCATGTCTACCCCCAGGTGGCCTCCATCAGACAGCACTTATCCACCATCTATGAGAAGGAGGAGGACTGGAGAAACGCTGCTCAGGTTCTAGTGGGCATTCCTCTGGAGACAGGACAGAAGTAAGTCAATTTAGTCCAGTGTTTCCCAATCTATTGCTGGGCGATCCGCCGGGAGTGTACAATTTGGTTCTAGCTGAGCACTAACACGTCTGATTCAACTAATCAACCCTCTTGTCCTCTTGTTCAGGCAGTACAATGTAGACTATAAGTTGGACACGTACCTGAAGATTGCCCGTCTGTACCTGGAGGATGATGACCCTGTTCAGGCCGAGGCCTACATCAACAGAGCCTCTCTGCTCCAGAACGAGTCCACCAACGAACAGCTACAGGTACACTACAAAGTGTGCTACGCCAGAGTGCTGGACTACAGGAGGAAGTTTATTGAGGCGGCTCAGAGGTACAACGAGCTCTCCTACAAGTCCATCGTCCATGAGACCGAGCGTCTAGAGGCCCTGAAACACGCTCTCCACTGCACCATCCTGGCATCAGCAGGTACCTGACACTGTTATTACATTGGTTTGTCTATTGTCTGTCACGACATCGTGAAAGGCGTGTAGTCAAAGCCACTCTAACTGTGTCATTACTTTTTTGGCTCCAGTTTTTTGTTGCACTGTATTTAGACTGCAAGGTAGTAACAGTAAAGTTCAATCTCCCTCTTCCTTTTCCCTTCTCGACCTCTCTCTCTCCTCCCTCTCTCCTCTCTCTATCATCTCTCTCTCCTCCCTCTCTCTATCCTCTCTCTCCTCTCTCTCTCCCTCTCCTCTCTCTATCCTCTCTTTTATCCTCTCTCTATCCTCTCTTTTATCCTCTCTCTATCCTCTCTCTTTCCCTCTCTCCTCTCTTTCTCCAGGCCAGCAGCGCTCCCGTATGTTAGCTACCCTGTTTAAAGACGAGCGCTGTCAGCAGCTGGCGGCCTACGGCATCCTAGAGAAGATGTACCTGGACCGCATAATCAGGGGGAACCAGTTGCAGGAGTTTGCTGCCATGCTCATGCCCCACCAGAAAGCCACCACGGGGGATGGTCAGTCTCCCACCTCAGCCTCTCTCCATAGTCCTTAGTTATTTCATTGATTGTGTAATAAGAAAATATGCTCAGCTGCATTACTGTGGGCTTCTGTTTCTAGGCTCCAGCATATTGGACAGAGCCGTTATTGAACACAACCTACTGTCTGCTAGCAAACTTTACAACAACATCACGTTTGAAGAGCTGGGGGCGCTTCTGGAGATCCCTCCCGCTAAGGTAAGATGGATTTCAACGTACAAGACCCAACAGTACTTTCACAGGCGTACGTTTTTTTCCGGAGGGGTGTAGGTAGGTAGGTCTAGGGTTTTGGTAATGCGTTCCGTGACTTATTGTATTTGTAAATGGTGAAAATCAGGCCCGTTTTAAACTATTCTTTCATTTGTTACCAAGAGTGACAGTTTGCCTGTAGGCATATCATCTTATTCCTCAAGACATTAACTATCTGATGGAGAAAATCACTTTTCAGGGAAAGATGTTAGGGATGTAATTTATGATTAATGTAGTGTTTGAGGGCGTGACCAAAACCTTTAGTATGGGAGGTTGAAGTAAAAAAAAAATATATATATTCGGGAAGTTTCACAGACATACATCATTAAAACAAATGAACAAAAATAAAATTGAGATTTTTAAGATTTATTTGAATGTGATTTTTAACAAACAGCAAGATCGCTACGAGGTAATTCTTGAACCTTGTCCTCACCGTATCTGTGGTAGGCCCTGTTGAACTGTGTATAAAATCACCTGCCAAATCAACTACCTTTACAATGAAGAAGCTGTCAAAACCAAAAACAAAATTGTAGACCTGCACCAGGCTGGGAAGACTGAATCTGCAATAGGTAAGCAGCTTGGTTTGAAGAAATCAACTGTGGGAGCAATTATTAGGAAATGGAAGACATACAAGACCACTGATAATCTCCCTCGATCTGGGGCTCCACGCAAGATCTCACCCCGTGGGGTCAAAATGATCACAAGAACGGTGAGCAAAAATCCCAGAACCACACGGGGGGACCTAGTGAATGACCTGCAGAGAGCTGGGACCAAAGTAACAAAGCCAACCATCAGTAACACACTACGCCGCCAGGGACTCAAATCCTGCAGTGCGAGACGTGTCCCCCTGCTTAAGCCAGTACATGTCCAGGCCCGTCTGAAGTGCATTTGGATGATCCAGAAGAGGATTGGGAGAATGTCATATGGTCAGATGAAACCAAAATATAACTTTTTGGTAAAAACTCAACTCGTCATGTTTGGAAGACAAAGAATGCTGAGTTGCATCCAAAGAACACCATACCTACTGTGAAGCATGGGGTTGGAAACATCATGCTTTGGGGCTGTTTTTCTGCAAAGGGACCAGGACGACTGATCCGTGTAAAGGAAAGAATGAATGGGGCCATGTATCGTGAGATTTTGAGTGAAACCCTCCTTCCATCAGCAAGGGCATTGAAGATGAAACGTGGCTGGGTCTTTCAGCATGACAATGATCCCAAACACACCGCCCGGGCAACGAAGGAGTGGCTTCGTAAGAAGCATTTCAAGGTCCTGGAGTGGCCTAGCCAGTCTCCAGATCTCAACCCCATAGCAAATCTTTGGAGGGAGTTGAAAGTCTGTGTTGCCCAGCGACAGCCCCAAAACATCACTGCTCTAGAGGAGATCTGCATGGAGGAATGGGCCAAAATACCAGCAACAGTGTGTGAAAACCTTGTGAAGACTTACAGAAAACGTTTGACCTGTGTCATTGCCAACAAAGGGTATATAACAAAGTATTGAGAAACTTTTGTTATTGACCAAATACTTATTTTCCACCATCATATGCCAATAAATTCATTAAAAATCCTACAATGTGATTTTCTGGATTTTTTTTTCTCATTTTGTCTGTCATAGTTTGAAGGTAACACTATGATGGAAAATACACGCCTCTCTCATCTGTTTAAGTGGGAGGAGAACTGCACAATGGTGGCTGACTAAAGACTTTGTTTCCCCACTGTATATATATTTATATTTTATGGGATTTTCACAGACATACAGTATTTATCCCAAAATATAAACGCAATAATATTTTGAGGTCTGTTATTATGAAAGTTGAAGTGTGAGTTTTAAAAGCAAGCAACATTACATAGAAGGCTTGAATTTTGAATATATATGTTGTTGTGCAGGACGATTATCTCCATGGTGAGGTCCCTGGTTACAGATGCAGTCTGGTAGGGTACAAAATCACTACTTTACTAATGAATGAGGTGTGAAACCAAAAATGCAGAACTAAAATACAGTGAAATAAAAGCCTTATTTGGCTCTGTCGCTCTCTCTCTCTCTCTCTCAATTTCTCGGTTGAAGACAGAGGGAACAGGAACGGAATGTGCACTCCCCTTATAATACCGGTAGTCTCCTATTGTTCATCTCAAGTGCTCAAAGCTGATGTTTTTGTTAACGTAAAGGGTGTCCTTGTCATTCTAAAGACTCATATTGTGTCATATTTAAGGAACTAGGCTACTTCAGATAATGGGATTGGGGATACAGTACTCATAACCATGTGAAAATGTAGAGCCCTATTTTAATATTTAGGTTATTCTTATTACCCAGTCATTCATCGCATGCCTATCTTATATCCCACAGTATGTGTTTCTAGTACAGAACGTTTCTGTCGCTATTCTCCCCAGTATTACTTTTTCAACTGTGCTGAATTGAAAATATTGTAGAGTTAGCTATGTGAACTACTCATTGGTTTATGTGTTAATGCACTAGGCTACAACGTCCATATAAGGAGTAAACCTATGAGATATTTGTTGTTGAAAGAATGTGAACGGCATGTCTAGTTACAGTGGACTTGGTGTACATATTGAATTGAAAAGTGGGATGGAGTTAGTCAATTATAACGGGAGTGAGACGCTATACTACATTTCTCCATTGGGCTGGGTGAGACCAAAATACATGAATTTGTAGGTAATGCATACCTTTACTGCTGACACATACAGGTAACTGCCAAAATAAAGTAAACAACAACATAAAGGGTCTTAATAGGGTGTTGGGCCAGAACAGCTTCAATTTACCTTAGCATAGATTCTATAAGTGTCTGGAACTCTATTGGAGGGATCCGAGAACATTCTTCCACAAGAAATTCCATCATTTGGTGTTTTGTTGATGGTGGTGGAAAACACTGTCTCAGGCACCGCTCCAGAATCTCCCATAACTATTCTATTGGATTGAGATCTGGTGATTGAGACACATACCCTTTAAACCCCCTATGCTCCTTTGAGACCAATCTTTCAAAGTCACTGAGATCTCTTCTTCTAGCCATGGTAAAACAATGGGCAACTGGGCATTTTTATACACCCTAAGCATGATGGGATGTTCATTTCTTAATTAACTCAGGAAACACACGTGTGGAAACACCTGCTTTAAATATACAGTACCAGTCGAAAGTTTGGACACACCTACTCATTCAAGGGTTTTTCTTTATTTTTACTATTTTCTACATTAGAATAATCATGTAGTAACCAAAAAAGTGTTAAACAAATCAAAATATATTTGAGATTCTTCAAAGTCGCCACTCTTTGCCTTGATGACAGCTTTGCACACTCTTGCCATTTTGATTTGTTTAACACTTTTTTGGTTACTACATGATTCCATATGTGTTATTTCATAGTTTTGATGTCTTCACTATTATTCAACAATGTAGTAAATAGTAAAAATAAAGAAAAACCCTGGAATGAGTAGTTGTGTCCAGGGATTTGACTGGTACTGTATACTGAACAAAAATATAAACGCAACATGTAAAGTTTTGGTCCCATGTTTCATGAGCTGAAATAAAAGATCCCAGAAATTTTCCAAAGGCACAAAAAGCGTATTTCTCTCAAATGTTGTGCACAAATTTGTTTACATCCCTGTTAGTGAGCATTTCTCCTTAACAAGATAATCCATCCACCTGACAGGTGTGGCATATCAAGAAGCTGATTAAACAGCATGATCATTACGCAGGTGTGCCTTGTGCTGGGGACAATAAAAGGCCACATAAGCCGCCTCCAACGTCGTTTTAGAGAATTTGGCAGTATGTCCGACCGGCCTCACAACCGCAGACCACGTGTAACCACCCAAGACCAGGACCTCTACTTTCGGCTTCTTCACCTATGGGATCGTCTGAGACAAGCCACCCGGACAGCTGATGAAACTGAGGAGTATTTCTGTCTGTAATAAAGCCAGTTTTGTGGGGGAAAACTCATTCTGATTGGCAGGGCCTGGCTCCCCATTGGGTGGGCCTATGCCCTCCCAGACCCACCCATGGCTGCTCCCCTGCCCAGTCGTGAAAACCATAGATTAGGGCCTAATGAATTTATTTTAATTGACTGATTTCCTTATATGAACTGTAACTCAGTAAAATCGTTGAAATTGTTGCATGTTATGTTTATTTTTGTTCAGTATGCTTAATTTATTCAAATGTTTCCTTTATTTTGGCAGTTACCTGTACATGTTGGCTGTATTGTGGTGAAGTTTTACAGTAGTTATGTACACAGACTAACTAGCACCTAACAACACTTCATACTCGTATTGGCCTGAAATGAATCTGACCATGTTTCACTGGCCTGATCCAGAAACAACCCCTAGCATCTACCGGTAACCCCTACCCACTTCATGAGGATCTGAAATGATTGTATGATAAGCCAGCGATTCTCAACTGGTGGGTTGCGAGCCAAATTTGGGTCGATGGGTCACTGGTGTCTGAGTAAAGAAACAAAACTACAACCAGGTAGAAAGTGTGTAGAAATGATCATGAACCTACATTAATTCAATTTTTAGATTCAATTATATATTTGTTTTATTGACAACGAAAAAGGTGGGAATGTTGTTCCCCAATATAGCATAACATTTTTGTTTTCAGATTGCATTTTGGCCCCAAAAAATTGGGATTTGAATATTGGGTCACGACTGAGACAACCTGGTTCATTTTACATTTTAGTAATTTAGCAGACGCTCTTATCCAGAGCGACTTACAGTTAGTGAGTGCATACATTTTTCATACTGGCCCCCCCTGGTGTTGCAAGCGTCATGCTCTACCAACTGAGCTACACAGGGCCCGAAGCAAAACCAGTTGAGAACCACTGCGCTAAGCAATATGGCTATGGGGCAAGGGGCAAGGGGCTAGGGTTGTTTCTGGCCAGGGCTGTTCTATTAACTTGTTGCAGACATGTTCCTATGCAGTAGTTGGTAGTGTGAGTGTGCCAGGGCGATGCCAGTGAACTGTCCCTGTGTGTCTGTTCCCAGGCTGAGAAGATCGCCTCCCAGATGATCACAGAGGGACGCATGAACGGCTTTATCGACCAGATAGACGGAATCGTCCACTTTGAGAGTGAGTAGTTAGGAGTTAGCTGTGCCCAGACTCCTCTATTTACAGAAGGCTATGCCCTCTGCCCAGTTAGCTCTAGGAGGATGAAATGCCTCTCTCTAGGCTAGGGCCTGGTTACTTTCTGTCAGCACAAGATTCCATGGTTCCTTTTTAAGTTTCTGCTTTTCTAGCTAATGTAATCCTAGGCTCTTTTTTAAATTTTTTATTATTAAAACATTATTGTGTTGTTATTCCTTTTCAATAAGATACTAACCCTCTCTCTTGCTCCCTCTTTCTCCATTGCTCACCGTCTCTCAGCACGGGAGCCCCTGCCCACCTGGGACAAGCAGATCCAGTCTCTATGTTTTCAGGTGAACAACCTGCTGGAGAAGATCACTGCTGCTGCTCCTGAGTGGACAGCCCAGGCCATGGAAGCTCAGATGACCCAGTAGACTGACTGATACCCCCTGGCCCGGAACATCCCACATGACCCCCCACACCAGGGCACACCCCCTGGCCCGGAACATCCCACATGACCCCCCACACCAGGGCACACCCTGGCCCGGAACATCCCACATGACCCCCCCACCAGGCACACCCCCTGGCCCGGCACCCCCCCCCACACCAGGGCACACCCCCTGGCCCGGAACATCCCACATGACCCCCCACACCAGGGCACACCCCCTGGCCCGGAACATCCCACATGACCCCCCACACCAGGGCACACCCCCTGGCCCGGAACATCCCACATGACCCCCCACACCAGGGCACACCCCCTGGCCCGGAACATCCCACATGACCCCCCACACCAGGGCACACCCCCTGGCCCGGAACATCCCACATGACCCCCCACACCAGGGCACACCCCCTGGCCCGGAACATCCCACATGACCCCCCACACCAGGGCACACCCCCTGGCCCGGAACATCCCACATGACCCCCCACACCAGGGCACACCCCCTGGCCCGGAACATCCCACATGACCCCCCACACCAGGGCACACCCCCTGGCCCGGAACATCCCACATGACCCCCCCACACCAGGGCACACCCCTGGCCCGGAACATCCCACATGACCCCCCACACCAGGGCACACCCCCTGGCCCGGAACATCCCACATGACCCCCCCACACCAGGGCACACCCCCTGGCCCGGAACATCCCACATGACCCCCCACACCAGGGCACACCCCCTGGCCCGGAACATCCCACATGACCCCCCACACCAGGGCACACCCCCTGGCCCGGAACATCCCACATGACCCCCCACACCAGGGCACACCCCCTGGCCCGGAACATCCCACATGACCCCCCACACCAGGGCACACCCCCTGGCCCGGAACATCCCACATGACCCCCCACACCAGGGCACACCCCCTGGCCCGGAACATCCCACATGACCCCCCACACCAGGGCACACCCCCTGGCCCGGAACATCCCACATGACCCCCCACACCAGGGCACACCCCCTGGCCCGGAACATCCCACATGACCCCCCACACCAGGGCACACCCCCTGGCCCGGAACATCCCACATGACCCCCCACACCAGGGCACACCCCCTGGCCCGGAACATCCCACATGACCCCCCCACACCAGGGCACACCCCCTGGCCCGGAACATCCCACATGACCCCCCACACCAGGGCACACCCCCTGGCCCGGAACATCCCACATGACCCCCCACACCAGGGCACACCCCCTGGCCCGGAACATCCCACATGACCCCCCACACCAGGGCACACCCCCTGGCCCGGAACATCCCACATGACCCCCCCCCACCAGGGCACACCCCCTGGCCTGGAACATCCCACATGACCCCCCACACCAGGGCACACCTGGCCTGGAATACCCCACACACCATGGCACATCTCACATGGCACCCTACTCCCTATTCACTATGGAGGGTACCATTTTGGACGAAGCCCCTAAGTGTTTACCTTAGAGATTTTGGCTGGGTGGCTGGGCTAAGTGCGAAGGTTTGCAAGATCGAACTGTACTGTAGACTGCACACACGAAATTGTTCAGTTGAAACCAGCTGAAGCCAAATTCTGATGTATTTTGGCAGGGTGTTAATAGAGCTTAGCCGTGCGCCCCACCTTAGTAGTGGTAGGGGAAACACTGCCCACTCCTTCCCACATTCTATTTCCCTCTCTCTCACTGTCTCTCGCCCATTTAAGTGTGAGACAAGTTCCAATCTGTTGGTTCTCTAGCATGTTACTCAGAAGAAGACTGCTGTGGATTATATTTTGAGTTTACCATTAATCTTTATAGGACTAATAAATGGATACTTGAATCCATAGGCTCATCAAGTTACCAGTGGTTGCATATATACTTTGATTTAATGTAATACAAACCAGAGAATGCAAACACTGATGTCCCACGACGAAGGTCTTAGTGATTCAATTTGAAATGTGAAAGACACACAGGCAATGCCTACCGACACTTCATTTGTTGCTGTATTCTTGTACAACGATTTTGTTACATTTTGTTTGGAAACATTTTGTCAGACCTGGAGTGCAACTTCAACAAAGAGATGAATAAAAGTTTTTAAAAATAAGTCAGCGTACATTTTTTATTTATTCTGAATAATCAGCTCTTTTTCATCACAATTTGTGTTTCAGCCATGGTTTATACTGCTGAATTTGCCATGTCCGACTTCTTCAGCAAGGTCCATCTTTGACAATAAGTATTTTCTTCCTGGTTTCTCTGCAAGAGAAAATATGAATTGCAATTTACTTCGACCCTGTCAGTATACATTACATTGTACTCTCACCAGTTTGATTGGAATACAGCAGGATAGAGATACTCATAGCCTATGGGTGATTAATTGCATGTTGTAAAACATAAGGCTTTACAACTAGATTTAGCTATGTATTTTTCCATCTACAGTCCCTCTTTATAATCAGCATCCAGGATCCAAACAACTTGTTTTATAACAACAATGACTGATAGTGTTTCTTTGTTGTACACACTCGTTGGTGACTCACTCCGTTGGATCCATACACCGGCTCAAAGTGAAAGGGACAGCCAGGCTGCTGAATTTTTATTTTATTTAACCTTTATTTAACCAGGTAAGCCAGTTGAGAACAAGTTCTCATTTACAACTGCAACCTGGCCAAGATAAAGCAAAGCAGTGCGATAAAAACAACACAGAGTTACGTATGGGGTAAACAAAACAAAGTCAAAAATACAACAGAAAATATATATACAGTGTGTGCGAATGTAGTAAGTTATGGAGGTAAGGCAATAAATAAATAGGCCATAGTGCAAAAATAGTTACCATTTCGTAATTAACACTGGAATGATAAATGTGCAAAATATGATGTGCAAATAGAGATACTGGGGTGCAAAATAAATAACAATATGGGGATGAGGTAGTTGGGTGGGCTAATTTCAGATGGGCTGTGTACAGGTGCAGTGATCGGTAAGCTGTTCTGACAACTAACGCTTAAAGTTAGTGAGGGAGATAAGAGTCTCCAGCTTCAGAGATTTTAGCAGAGAACTGGAAGGAATGGCGGCCAAAGGAGGTGTTGGCTTTGAGGATGACCAGTGAGATATACCTGCTGGAGCGCAGAGTACGGGTGGGTGTTGCTATGGTGACCAGTGAGCTAAGATAAGACGGGGATTTGCCTAGCAGTGATTTATAGATGACCTGGAGCCAGTGGGTTTGGCGACGAATATGTAGTGAGGGCCAGCCAACAAGAGTGTACAGGTCACAATGGTGGGTAGTATATGGGGCTTTGGTGACAAAACGGATGGCACTGTGATAGACTACATCCAATTTGCTGAGTAGAGTGTTGGAGGCTATTTTGTAAATGACATCGCCGAAGTCAAGGATCGGTATGATAGTCAGTTTTTCGAGGGCATGTTTGGCAGCATGTGTGAAGGAGGCTTTGTTGCGAAATAGGAAGCCGATTCTAGATCTAACTTTTGATTGGAGATGCTTAATGTGAGTCTGGAAGGAGAGTTTACAGTCTAACCAGACACCTAGGTATTTGTAGTTGTCCACATACTCTAGGTCAGACCCGCCGAGAGTAGTGATTCTAGTCGGGTGGGCGGGTGCCAGCAGTGTTCGGTTGAAGAGCATGCATTTCGTTTTACTAGTGTTTAAGAGCAGTTGGAGGCTACGGAAGGAGTGTTGTATGGCGTTGAAGCTCGTTTGGAGGTTTGTTAACACAGTGTCTCGGGCCAGATGTATACAAAATGGTGTCGTCCACATAGAGGTGGATCCGAGCGTCACCAGCAGCAAGAGCGACATCATTGATATACACAGAATAGGGTCGGCCCGAGAATTGAACCCTGTGGCACCCCCATAGAGACAGCCAGAGGTCCAGACAAAAGGCCCTCCGATTTGACACATTGAACTCTATCTGAGAAGTAGTTGGTGAACCAGGCGAGGCAGTCATTAGAGAAACCAAGGCTATTTAGTCTGCCAATAAGAATGAGGTGGTTGACAGAGTCGAAAGCCTTGGCCAGGTTGATGAAGACGGCTGCGCAGTACTGTCTTTTATCGATCGTGGTTATAATATCGTTTAGGACCTTGAGCGTGGCTGAGGTGCACCCATGACCAGCTCGGAAACCGGATTGCATAGCGGAGAAGGTACAGTGGGATTCGAAATGGTCGGTGATCTGTTTGTTAACTTGGCTTTCAAATACTTTCGAAAGGCAGGTCAGGATGGATATAGGTCTGTAACAGTTTGGATCTAGAGTGTCACCCCCTTTGAAGAGGGGGATGACCGCGGCAGCTTTCCAATCTTTGGGGATCTCAGACATTACGAAAGAGAGGTTGAACAGGCTAGTAATAGGGGTTGCGACAATTTCGGTGGCTAATTTTAGAAAGAAAGGGTCCAGATTGTCTAGCCCAGCTGATTTGTAAGGGTCCAGAGTTTTCAGCTCTTTCAGAACATCAGCTGTCTGAATTTGTGTGTGGGGGGGGGGTAAGTTGCAGCGGAGGGTGCAGAGCTGGTGGCCGGGGTAGTGGTAGCCAGGTGGAAAGCATGGCCAGCCGTAGCAAAATGCTTGTTGAAATTGGAGTTAGGGCTACAGGATGCAAATTTCTGTTTGAAAAAGCTAGCCTTTGCTTTCCTAACTGATTGTGTATATTGGTTCCTGACTTCCCTGAAAAGTTACATATCGCGGGGGCTGTTCGATACTAATGCAGTACGCCACAGGATGTTTTTGTGCTGATCAAGGGCAGTCAAGTCTGAGGAGAACCAGGGGCTATATCTGTTCTTAGTTCTGAATTTTTTGAATGGGGCATGCTTATTTAAGATTGAGAGGAAAGCACTTTTAAAGAACAACCAGACATCCTCTACTGACAGAATGAGGTCAATATCCATCCAGGATACCCGGGCCAGGTCAATTAGAAAGGCCTGCTTGCTTAAGTGTTTTAGGGAGCGTTTGACAGTGATGAGGGGTGGTCATTTGACCGCGGACCCTTTACTGACGCAGGCAATAAGGCAGTGATCGCTGAGATCCTGGTTGAAGACAGCGGAAGTGTATTTAGAGGGTAAATTTGTCAGGATGATATCTATGAGGGTGCCCATGTTTACAGATTTAGGGTTGTACCTGGTAGGTTCGTTGATAATTTGTGTGAGATTGAGGGCATCTAGTTTAGATTGTAGGTTGGCCGGGGTGTTAAGCATATCCCAGTTTAGGTCACCAAGCAGTACGAACTCTGAGGATAGATGGGGGGCAATCAGTTCACATATGGTGTCCAGGGCACAGCTCGGGGCTGAGGGGGGTCTGTAGCAAGCGGCAACAGTGAGAGACTTATTTCTGGAAAGGTGGATTTTTAGAAGTAGAAGCTCAAACTGTTTGGGCACAGACCTGTATAGTAGGATAGAGCTCTGCAGGCTATCTCTACAGTAGATTGCAACCCCACCCCCTTTGGCAGTTCTATCGAGACGGAAAATGTTGTAGTTGGGGATGGAAATGTCTGAATTTTTGGTGGCCTTCCTAAGCCAGGATTCAAACACTGCTAGAACATCAGGGTTGGCGGAGTGTGCTAACACAGTGAATAACTCAAACTTAGGGAGGAGGCTTCGGATGTTAACGTGCAAGAAACCAAGGCTTTTATGGTTACAGAAGTCAGCAAATGATAATGCCTGGGAAGTTGGAGTGATACTGGGGGCTACAGGGCCTGGGTTAACATCACCAGATGAACAGAGGAGGAGTAGAATAAGGATACGGCTAAAGGCTTTAAGTACTGGTCTTCTAGTGCGTTGGGTACAGAGAAAAAAGGGGCAGATTTCCGGGCGCTGTAGAATAGATTCAGGGCATTATGTACAGACAAGGATATGGAAGGATATGAGTAAACCTAAGCGTTGGGTAATGATGAAAGAGATAGCATCACTGGAGGCACCGATTGAGTCGGTCTCCGCGTGTATGGGGGGTGGGACAAAGGAGCTATCTAAGGCAGGTTGAGCTGGGCTGGGGGATCTACAGTGAAATAGTACAATAAGAAATAACCGAAACAGAAATAAGCAAGGCATATTGACATGGGAGAGACGCATAAAGCAATCACAGGTGTTATTCGAGAGAGCTAAGACAACAGCTGGTAATGGCGACAAAGTTTGGGCTGAGGCTAAACATAAACAGGATGCGGTACCGTATAAAGGAACAGTCCAGCAGGCATCAGCTGTATAGCTGAGTTATCATAAGGTCCGGTGAACAGCAATAGGAGAGTTCGGAAGTAGTTCGGGGGCTCCTACAGCACTGGCGAGCAAGAGGCCACGGCTTGCGTGTGCTAGCGGGCCGGGGCTAGCAGATGGATAGTTGTAGCACGCCGGCTAAAGGAAAGATGTTGTGAGCTTTGTCTTTCCTCACAGTTTTAATTCATTTGAATCTACCATTATGATTAGTTACACAAGAAAAACTAGTTTAGTCAAATCTTCGTATCAAAATATGAATAACTGGAAACATTAACTTCTTAAAGTTCGCCCCCTGCACATCTGATGGACAAAACATTGGCATTGATGTAGTGACACAACATTAACAATACATACTAAAAGTACATTTCAATGGTGAAGAAGTATGCTTACTTGAGAGGCAAGGTATGATGAGAAGAAGGAGAAAAGTGGGTTTTCCAGGCATACTGACGACTACAGTAGTCCGCTATGGTGTGTTTCTCCTAGTAATAAATGTCTCTATACTCTATTAGTGTTTTGGGAAACTTCAATGACCTCATTTCTGGTCCCCCTTCTGTTCTATTAACAGTGACACACAGTTTTGGCTCTAGTCTGTAAACAAAATCTCAAACAGTAGCACCACAGATATCCAAGCTCTTATGAAGACCAATGTTGAATATTTCTCTGGGTCAGGTTGGTTTTGTCTCTATTGTTACAAGCACACTCCCTGGTGATTCATTCAGCTAGCTGTTATGGTGTCCCTTCAAGGCAATATTCAGGAGAAGGACAAACAACAGTTTACTTGTGTATTTATTGAGTATATAACTTCAGTGGAACACAGATCACACATAACAGAGGGGAACACTTCAAACAGACCTGCATGGTAGGGCTCCGTTTGACAAGTCAATGATAAATGTATCTCTAATGGGCTCTACAGCTTCATCCTGTCCAAGCATGTGGTTTCCATAGTTTATCACTGACTTTATCTCTTCGACAAACCCTGAGTAGCTAGTAGGCCTATAGTAATCATTACCAGGTTAACCAACATGTGTACAGTGCTTCACCCTGGCCTGAGGTGTGTTGGAGTTATATTACTGCTCAGAATATATTTTACTGATGATATACAGTTTCTAGGAATTACTGAATAATCAAGCCACAATGTATGTCACATTTTAGCATTCCAATAGCGTTCATATTAACAAATTACGGTCAGTAAAAAGCACTTATTGCTTTGTATTTCTTACATCAAGAAAATATAACTCAAAAGTAAGAACATATTTAGGATACCGGAATTCGATCTCAGATCTTTTTCTTCAGGTCTCTGACGCCATCTAGAGGACATGAATACCACGACACACTTTCTTATTTAATTTTTTTGCCTTTAAAACGCTTTACCTACTCTACTGTATGAGGATGTACCATACCACAAAGTACTACAATTACTCACTGTCTTACACTTGTAGTCAAACATGACTTTATACAGTAAGGTTAAAGTGTCAGTAGGTCTAAGGCTACGTAATCAGGTATGGTGCCACTACAGTTTCCACAGAACTACCGGGTACTCAATGTATTGCTCTGTGAAACATTATCAGACTTGTGGTTGTACCTTAGCTCAGAAGATCCCCTGCTCCTTCCGTAGATCTATGTCTCTCTTCAGCTGACAGGTAGAGCACAGCCTACACCACAAGATGGCACAGAAGTCCCCACACAGGGAGCCCTGGACACCAAACCAAACAAGACACTTAGTCCAGGACAGGAGAGAGGCAGGGAGTGCCTCATCATACATACATCAGAGCCTGTCCATCTGGTTAGAATGTTTCATGTGACAGAATAACAGACCTAGAGCAGCGTATGACTGTTACAGTAGAAGCTAAGGGAAAGGAACTGTATCTGGTGAGGTACATGGTGCGGTACATGGTGCGGTACATGGTGCGCATGGCCATGGTAGGCCCACACAGACAACACTCATTCATATCACTGGCGATAGAGCAGCCCAGACATGGGAAGCACCAATAACCATAACAATCTAGGAGAGAGAGGGGGATGGTGAGAGAGAGGGGGGACAGATAGAGAGACAATGAGAGCGAGGAACCATCAAATGAATATGGTAATTTGTCGTTTGCTAGAATGTGCTGTGTTTCCACCTCAAATGCCACAATCAAACCTGAATCTAACCTTTATTAAACTTGTTCTCACAGCATTTGGAAAGGACAGGAGGCTGATACTAACAGCATTGGTGTCAACACAATTACATAGACTGCCTTGTTACTTACTGCACAACAGTGTCCTCATCAGCTCACATAAGGAACACCTTTGCATAGACAGTATTGCGTGCATATGGTACTGTGGGTGTACTGTGTACATGTGATAGTGATCAGTAGAAGTTACCTCTCCCTAGTACAGTGACTGTGTCCTGGGCCTTCTACTACGGTAGAACATTCAAATCACTCCATTTGTTTGTATTGAAATGCAGAGTCAAATGGAGCCTTCTTTCAGCCAGTGTAAGTAATGAATCCACTGGTGCCAAAATTGTCTGATTGTGATAATGAAATGTAGATATATACCATAGATATAGAATTTATATATATGTAGTATACATAGTACTTCACAAATAAGTCAATACAATAGGTCAACATGTGGTTCCTAGGCTTTATAATGTTATAAACTTTAGTACTGCTATGTAACCTCATTCAGTGTCTGGGTTCTATCGGTTGTGGTCAGCCCTGGGTTCAAATATACTGAACAAAAAATATAAACACAACATGCAACAATTTCAAAGATTTTACTGAGTTACAGTTCACATAAGGAAATCAGTCAATTCACCTGTGTAATTAATGATCATGCTGTTTAATCAACTTCTTGAATTCCACACCTGTCAGGTGGATGGATTATCTTGGCAAAGGAGAAATGCAAACTAACAGGGATGTAAACAAATTTGTGCACAACATTTGAGAGAAATAAGCTTGTTGTGTTTATGGAACATTTCTGGGATTTTTTATTTCAGCTCATGAAACATGGCACCAACACTTTACATGTTGTGTAGATATTTTTGTTCAGTATAGTAAAGAGATTCACTACTATTCACTACTACTATTTTCCCATCAGAGTTGTGTTTCCATCAAGTTGACTTGTTGCAGATAAAAGTCTGTGCATAAATACATAGTGCACTTAAAAATAACTTTTGAGGTTCAATTCCCATTTAAGTTCAATGGGTTTCCATCGCATTTTCAACTGTAGGCCTACTGTCACTTATTGTGATATTGTGTAGCTATAGTGAATGTGCCCACTCTGGTATGGGCACGTGCACTCTAGCCAACAGCTACAGCTTAGGTATAGCCTACTACATGATGATATTACTATAGACAAAAGTGCGAGATTGTTTTTATTGGTCAAATGGCAGCCAAGCATCGATCATCATGCCACCAGAATAAGACCATCAATATTTATTGAAAGGAGTGTCAACCTAATCACTGTGCACTTTCACCACCCTGTGAAGTTCATCATAACTTGTTTCATCTGTAGCCTAATAAACTGTATGCTTTCCCATGATGTCTTGACATTTTTTATCCGACATGTAGGCTACTTTACTCGCATAAAAAGGCTAGATGGAAACCTTCTTAATATCAAACCATTTTGAAGATGCTGGATTTATATTTTGGATGAATGTGTGCTATATTGAAGCGTTAGGTTCTCAAGGAATAGCCGCTCGGAATTTCCTGAATAACTTGGCCTGCCGGGAGTATTTGTATTTATTAAGGATCCCCATTAGTTCCTGCCAAGGCAGCAGCTACTCTTCCTGGGGTCCAGCAACATTAAGGCAGTTATATACAATTTAAAATATTACATGACATTACATTTCATTACACTTTTCACAACACATTAAGTGTGTTCCCTCAGGCCACTACCCTACTATCACATATTTACAATGCAACATTCATGTGTACGTGTGTGTAGAGTCTTATCATGTGTATGTGTGTCTGTACCTGTGTGTGTGTCTCTTCACAGTCCCCACTGTTCCATAAGGTGTATTTTTATCTGTTTTAAAAATCTGATTCTACTGCTTGCATCAGTTACCTGATGTGGAATAGAGTTCCATGTAGCCATGGCTCTATGTAGTACTGTGCGTCTCCCATAGTCTTCTCTTGACTTGGGGATTTTGAAGAGACCTTTGTTGGCATTTCTTGTGGGGTGTGCATGGGTGTCCGAGCTGTGTTCTAGTAGTTTAAACAGACACCTCGGTGCATTCAGCATGTCAACACTTCTTACAAAAACAAGTAGTGATGAAGTCAATCTCTCCTCCACTTTGAGCCATGAGAGATTTACATGCATGTTATTAATATTAGCTCTCTGTGTACTTTTAAGGGCCAGCCGTGCTGCCCTGTTCTGAGTCAATTGTAATTTTCCGAGGTCCCTGTTTGTGGCACCTGACCACACGGCTGAACAGTAGTCCAGGTGCAACAAAGAGGACCTGCCTTGTTGATAGTGTTGTTAAAAAGGCAGAGCAGCGCATTATTATGGACAGACCTCTCCTTATCTTAGCTACTGTTGTATCAACATGTTTTGACCATGACAGTTTACAATCCAGTGTTACTCCAAGCAGTTTAGTCACCTCAACTTGCTCAATTTCCACATTATTTATTACAAGATTTAGTTGAGGTTTAGGGTTTAGTCAATGATTTGTCCCAAATTCAATGCTTTTAGTTTTTGAGATATTTAGGACTAACTTATTCCTTGACACCCATTCTGACTGCAGCTCTTTGTTAAGTGTTGCAGTCATTTCACTCGCTGTATAGTGTTGAGTCATCTGCATACATAGACACACTGGCTTTTCTCAAGGCCAGTGGCATGTCATTAGTAAATATTGAAAAAAGTAAGGGGCCTAGACAGCTGCCCTGGGAAATTCCTGATTCTACCTGGATTATGTTGGAGAGGCTTCCATTAAAGAACACCCTCTGTGTTCTGTTAGACAGGTAACTCTTTATACACAATATAGCAGGAGGTGTAAAGCCATAACACATACGTTTTTCCATCAGCAGACTATGATCGATAATGTCAAAAGCCGCACTGAAGTCTAAGAAAACAGCTATTATTATCCATTTCTCTGAGCCAATCATCAGTCATTTGTGTAAGTGCCATGCTTGTTGAATGTCCTTCCCTATAAGCGTGCTGAAAGTCTGTTGTCAATTTGTTTACAGTAAAATAGCATTGTATCTGGTCAAACACCATTTTTTCCAAAAGTTTACTAAGGGTTGGTAACAGGCTGGTTGGTCGGTTATTTGAGCCAGTAAAGGGGGCTTTACTATTCTTGGGTAGCGGAATTACTTTTGCTTCCCTCCAGGCCTGAGGGCACACACTTTCTAGTAGGCTTAGATTTAAGATATGGCAAATAGGAGTGGCAATATCGTCCGCTATTATCCTCAGTAATTTTTCATCCAAGTTGTCAGACCCCGGTGGCTTGTCATTGTTGATAGACAACAATATTTTTTTCACCTCTTCCACACTCACTTTACGGAATAAAAAATTACAATGCTTGTCTTTCATAATTTCATCAGTTATACTTGGATGTGTAGTGTCAGTGTTTATTTCTGGCATGTCATGCCTAAATTTGCTAATCTTGCCAATGAAAAAATCATTAAAGTAATTGGCAATATCAGTGGGTTTTGTGATGAATGAGCCATTTGATTCAATGAATGATGGAGCTGAGTTTGCCTTTTTGCCCAAATTTTCATTTAAGGTGTTCAGAGCTTTTTACTATCATTCTTTATATCATTCTTTATCATTTCTTTATCATATCATATGATTTATATTTGTTTATCTATGTGGCCACATTATTATAGGAGGACTTGGGAGAATGATGATTTGCAACAGACAGCGCATTCAGTATCAGAAGTAAAAATGCAGCCAGACTGGCCTGGTACTGTGCCTTCGATGTTCTGGCCTCTCCAGATAGAGAGATAGCTCTCCTATCAGCTATCCCTATTTTGTCTTGTGGATTCATATTGAAAATTGATGCAGTTTTGAATACTTTTATGTGTAATATAATTTCTAGTTAGCCTATTGCAGATCTGGACAAACGATCCACCTACCACTATTGTCACTATTAACATTTTTAGTCATTTAGCAGACGCTCTTATCCAGAGCGACTTACATTTTATTTGTTGTTTTTTCATACTGGCCCCCCGTGGGAATCGAACTCACAACTCTGGCGTTGCAAACGCCATGCTCTACCAACTGAGCTACATCCCTGCCAGCCATTCCCTGTTATTTTCTGATTAACAAAGAAATATTTGTTGCATATTGACAACATAGGTGTATAGTTACCAGAAGGAGAGGTCAGTGCAGGTGCATCAAAGCTGGGACCGAGAGACTGAAAAACAGCTTCCATCTCAAGGCCATCAGACTGTTAAATAGCCATCACTAGCCGGCTACCACCTGGTTACTCAACCCTGCACCTTAGAGACTGCTGCCCTATATACATAGACATGGAATCACAGGCCACTTTAATAATGGAACATTAGTCACTTTAATAATGTTTACATACTGCTTTACTCATCTCATTTTTATATACTGTATTCTATTCTACTGTATTTTAGTCAATGCCACGCCGACATTGCTCGTCCTAATAGTTATATATTTCTTAATACCTTTCTTTTACTTTTAGATTTGTGTATTGTTGTGAATTGTTAGATACTACTGCGCTGTTGGAGCTAGGAACACAAGCATTTCGCTACACCCGCAATAACATCTGCTAAATATGTGTATGTGACAAACAAAATTGGATTTGATTTGATTTTACTGTAACTACCTGTCAGTTCAGGAGGGAGAAAACAAAGGAAAAGTTGACTATTTGCTACCTCGCTGATATGCATGAAATGAAGAAAAATACTGGATGTACAAAAAGATATACAGCCACTGTTAGTTGAGTTAGAATTTCAGTCCACTTACATGGTCCCACAGAGGCCAGTCTGGAAGTCTGATGGAGCGTAGCTAGTTGGTTGGTTAATTACAACAGCCATGCTCTCTC